CATACCCCTTGCTCCTCTGCGCAGATCAGCCGACCAAGTGCCCCAGCGTGTGATTGCTAAGGCCAGACAGAAATCGCTTCGGAAGTTCAACTAAGTCTCTAAGTTCAACTACACATCCACAGCCCCCTGGCATCCAAGTTCCAGGCGCTCTGATCCTCGGGAGCTTACTGCATGTCAGAAGATGCTCATTCGACCTATCAGAGCTTCAGACATACAGTTAGGCCCTGCTTGCGCCGCTCACCTCCACAGATTCTAGAGCAAGCTTTGCAGAGTCTCCAGGGCCAGGACCGAATCTTTGCCTCCTTGGTATTTCGCCCAGGGATCGCTGTTTTTGGCCTTGGGTATCCGATTGATCAGCTTGGGGTTTGCTTCCCCGCTTAGGGTTTAGGGTTTAGTCGCTCACTCTCGCACGAGGCAGGCAAGGTCCGTTAGTCTGTGTAGGACAAAAAGGGATGAGATGCCCATGCCAAGCAGTCTTTAGGGTTTAGGGTTTAGGGTAATTTCCTGGCCAGTGCAGGTTCTTCTGGATGGCCTGAAGGTCCCGCTGACAAGTCATCTCGTTTTCACTTCCTGCGAGACTAGTCTCTTACCAGTGCCTGGAGCCATTGACCCCGAGTAATCCACACATGATAGGAACTTCAGGAAGGACTACAAATTGGAGAGTGCTGGCCATGTAGTCGCTGAAATTCGGCGAGTCAGGGCCTGGACATGATCATGGGGGAGGCACTGGAATCCTGCCGGAGCTTGCCATAAGGGCTGCACCCAGTTGCTGTTGTCAGTGTGGGCGTGATTCTGATAGTTCTTGGCCTCAGAAGTTCGCCGGAGGGAGCCCGGGCAAGTGTCAGCATTCGGGAAATAGTGGGAACACATTTGAACATAACAACTTCCCTGATGGCCAGAGGAAAGTTCTGTGGGCCCGGCGACAGCCTTTGGCTCTGCCTCTTTGGCGTACTGCCAGGCATCCTCACCACTCGGCTCCACTTGAGCTGCCACCTGCGCAAGTGCTTGCTGCCGGCCGAGGTTCAGGGATTTGGGCCTCTTGGCGTACGGAGTGTCTTGGGTTTTGAGGACTGTGCTGCCCTCCAGGTTTGCTGGGAGTCCATGCCTCCGAGGTCGAGGCCCCGGGGAAGTCCTGCAGGACGTCGGCATCGACCCATCCTGATTGGAGCCCGACCCTTACCATTTGTTCATTCTGGTTCGGCAGCATTTGCTTCGAACAATTTAAGTACCGGTCCCCGCGGATGGATCGGCACGCACAGGCCACCATCTGGTAGGCGGCGTGGTTGGTCAAGAACGATCACGCTCTGGCCAGCCTCGTTAGAATTGTGTGAACAACACGTACTAGCCCCTGAAGCATTTCAAACGCAGCAAGATGAAACAAGAATCAGACAATCGAGTCAAATCAGTCTCAGCCTGTCTCTGCTGCTAATTTTCTGTGTGGTTCTCGGGAAACTCGGGTTTCGTGCCTCCGTTAACAGGCCCGTTGGTCCCGGAATAAACTGCAGTGGAGATCTCAGAGCGGGCCCGCAGGCCGACGATTGTAGATCAGTGCCAGATCTTCTTCTGGGCCCCACTTTGGATGGGATGCCGACCGGCGTTTTAACACGCACCCCCCCCCCCTCTAGTATGGTCTATCAGTCAGAAGGAGACCAAGTTGACTAGGTCAGGGTATCTCTTCAAAACTCGCACTACAGATGCACGGGCACGTTGGCCTTCGACCAAGCTTCGTGTTCCTTGCACCCTAAACCCAGTCACCCAAAAGGCCTTGAGGCTGTGGAAGATTGTACTCGCCTTCGCAGGTGCCTGTCGCACCTGCATTCAGGTCAGGATGAGAGAAAAAAAGTGGGTTCCTGCCGACATTTGGCCCCATGGACTTGATCTTGCTGCAAGAAATCAACCTGAACATAGAGCCTTCGAGTCCTGGCGGACCAGGAACTTTTGGTCCACAACATTGGCTGCCATAAACGCAAAGTTTCTACTGTATACTCAAGGGATGGCCTTCCTCAGCTAAACCAGAATCGTCCGCATGAGTGACTTAATTAGTTGTATCCACGGTCTGTCTGCTGCTGAGTCACTCATTCATTTTTTTGATTTTGCTTGAGTTCACTCTATTGCCAGTTCATGCAAAAAACGTGGCCGAACGATCTTGCGGGCGTGCAGCTGACACGCTGGAGCCACCAGCTGCAAACCAGGAGCAAGCACAAAAAGATTCCTGCAAGACCCACCAAATACTTCATGGCAGCATTTGGTTGGTTTAGAACGTATAGAACGTCATCCGTCAGGTAAAGCGACGTCAACATGATGCCGCCGGAAGCAGTGCAAGCACAGGTTTTTCGATTCTGCAGATGCTCTGCCGCCAGTGGGGGTCTGCTACTGCGGCTCCCGTGGGCTTTGCTCTGGGCATCTCAAGACCACACGTGTATCGGAAAGATTCTCCAGTCCAAGTATGAGGAAGGCAGTTGCCAGGATGCCCGAAGTCTCAAAGCCCAGGGCGCTGCTGAAGGCTTCGAAGTTGATGCAAAGTGTCAAAGTGTTTTCCGTCTAGCCCATCTATAGATTCCAGATTAGGGCCCTGGCACACGCAAGAGCTCTGCCGGGAAGGCGGCTTTCTCTCTGTGCCTGGAGCCACTTCCGCTTCACAAACAGCTGCGGCTGTGGAGACGTTGACAGCTGCCCCGAGGAAGAAACTGGGACCTGGGAGTCCACACTAGCGCGGGAATCCGATAATCCAGCCCACGCCCGCGGCGCTCCGAGAAGGATCTCTCTTTGGACCCTGGCGGCCCCTGGGGTGATGGCAAAAACGTTTTCCAGCCACTGCGAGCCTTCCCCGCAGCCGAAAGTGCACAGCTGCCTCGGCTAACTCCGTGCCCTCTTTGGGATGGTCGTAACTTAATCCCGCAGCCGAAGGTTGAGAACTGGCGTTCTGGCTGAGGTGGGGAAGACTCTAACTAACGCGATTGATCGGTACGATGTGTCTGGGCTAGGTCACAAGCATGCTCTGATCCCACATCAGTGGGCCAAGCTCTTTGCTCAGCTGGGTTTTGATCCAGGCTCTGGCTGTCGTGAGGCGGCCAGGCACGCGGGCACTACACTGAGCCCACAACTTCTAGGACTTTTTGCCTTTCTGGTGGACACCCTCAGGTCAGTGGTGACTTTATGGTCTTCAAAAGCTCTCGCACAAAATTTCACCCTTTCCATGCACTTCAGTTCCGCAGCCAGAGTCCTGGCTCATGGCTGGGACGCGCGGCCTGCCTTTGACAGGCGCCGTCCTCAGCATGCCTAAGGAAGAAAAGCCAGCTTGCATCAACAGTTCCATTCATCTTGCAAAGTATATGCCCGTTGGAACAAGATTCTGTTCAGACGGCGGGCGGCAGCAATGCCCGAGATTCGTTGCTCAAGCGCTATGACGAAATGTCCTTGCACCTGTGATGAACAGGTGCTCGAAAAGGAAAATACGGTTTCTCGTTGCTTTCGTCGCAGATGACTTCGGCAGGGCAGCGTGCCTTGCAAACCGACCTTCACGCTGCCCAGCATTCTTGTCAAAAAACCTGCTGCGTCTTCACAAGGCTCTATATACATATACATATACATATACATATACATATACATACACATACACATACATATATATATATATATATTATTATTGTTATTATTATTATTATAAATATTATTATTATTCCAAATATTAATATCAGTATTATTATTATATATATGTGTGTGTACGTGTGTGTATGCATACACTCCTTTCATGATCTCTTTCAAATGCGAGTAACAGCGTTGCACGTTGCAGTTTGGATCCTGTGTCGAATCATAATGCCCCCTCTGACCTTGGCATACCGAGAGTCGCAGCGATCGCGATAGGAAGAGGAGCAATACTGACAACGATGGGCCAGGAGCAAGAATCCCTCAATAAGTAGCCGCCGAGATACCTCCTTGTACCTTAGACTTTTGAATAAGCACCTATCTCCGTGGAATCGGGAACGCAAACTGCATTTCAATGATGCTGAAGCGATATCGCGTAGAAAATCAGTCCTGGCAGTTCTTCAACGGCACCAAGGTATGGAATTGTTGCAAGTGCTCAAGTGCTTGCGGAAATCATGGAAATTCGGACAATTCCACACGCCTTCAAAAAAAAACTCAAATTCAGGAAGCGGACAACCGTAACGATCTAGGGCCGACGTACACTTTCAAACTTGAGCCGCTTCACAAGGGGAAAGTTGGCTCCCACTCTCCTACTTCAGTTCCTGGAGTGGGGATAACAGCCAAACAATTCCAAGTGAACGCGAAGTAACATATTATCTAGGGGGTTCCCGAACATAGTTAGTTGCGTTATGTTGCGTTGACTAGATTGCCTCCGCCAAGCGACTCCTAGCTAAGCAAATCTAATCTTGGATTAAGTACTTGGTGACCTACTTAGGCAATGTTCATGTTTAGAACTACCCTCAACATATTGTTGGTTGTCATGTTTATGTCAGAAGCAAGTTTCATCAGGCCGGTCAAGTTTCGTAAGTATCAACACAAGCCGTATCCCTTTGATCACCCCGTTGGTTTACTGCTTTCGCTCTCCCTTCCAACAAGGACAAACTCACAAATTAAACCCTAAACCCTAAACCGCATGTCTCCCCCAAGATGCCCCCCCCGCTCCCCCCCCCCCACCCTCCCTAGCCCAAAACCCTCAAACCAACCCTGTCGCACCAATGTGCCATCTGCGAGACATAAGTGGCATAAGTAAAAAAGTCTAAGCTGCAAGCCTGCAAACGAGGGATATCCGTGGCCACTTGCGGCTGGAACCCCAAGTCCAAGCTTGCAGGATCTTGCAAGGCACTCAATTAAATGGGAATCTGTCGGCTTTGCAATCCGGAAGCCCAAGGGCCTAAGGGCCTAAGGGCCTATAAAGCTCCCACAAGCTGCTTGTCTTTAGCTTGCAGCTCCAAGGACGGCAAACTCCGAAGATCCCAGCCGATTCGGGAAAAGAAGGCCTCAAACTCAAAGAGTGCTCAGAAGTTGACCTGCCAGGCCCAAAGACATGTGCAACAGAGGCTCAACACCTCCTAAGCCAAAGCGGGCGAATGCTTAAGCCCAGGGTTACTTTCCAGGCCGAGTGCACTTCTGCTCTTCGAATATGTGCTGAGCACATCGTGAGCGTACACATCGTACATTTCCAAGCCACATGGGGGTTTCCAAAAAAATTGGGGGGGGGGGGGGGTAACCCTTCAGAAACCCCAAATTCGTATAATCCTTATTGCAGGAATCCCCAAAAGGTACCCCTATTTTCGGAAACCTCTCTATCTGTTCGTTAGAGGATATGAACGCGAAGCTTGCAAGCAAGAGACTTGCGGTGGGAGCGTATCTGTTCGAACCTGAGCTGTGGGAAACTGTAGCGTCTCCAAGAGTCAAAATCCGTCCCAGAAGCAGCAGACTAAGAACCTAGTTTGTTGCAGGGTCTCTTTTCAGTCCGCCATGCCCTGAAGATGATGGAACTACAGATCCGGTGCAACCAAACAAACAGACACATGTGCAATGAGCCTGCAGAGAGATCACCGTATACAGCCGAAAGACTAGGATGGTCCAACAAAACCTGCCACCGACACCTCTACCAGCACCCAGGTCAAGCGTAAACATTTCTCAGCCAATTTACCCCTACTTGGAGGTTCATGGGTAGCTAGAAGTTGGGTTACAAGTACCCAAAATAGGGTGATACGAATAGTTACGATGCTTATCACCCTACGTATAACTACCCATGAACATCCAAGTACACACCTCACGCTCACAAGTCCCAGCAACTGCGGTGAAGTGCCACTGGCCCCCACTCCATTTGGCCGTGATCAGCTTTCCTGGCCTGGGTCGTTGATGATCTTTGGATATTGCTTCTACTTCGTACTATCATTAGCATTACAGTTCTGAGTATGGAGATTATTATGGAGGGGGAGGAGGGACTGAAAACTAGCTTTAAAGCGGCACGACAGCAAAGCAGTATGATGGTCCCATGCCCTTTTCAAGGCAGACAGATTCTAGAGAACTGAGGCTGAGAGGCTTAGAGTGGTTTCATCTCAGTACTCGGGAGGGGGAGGGGGGGAGGGGGGGGGGGAGGGGGAGGGGGAGGGGGGGGGAGGGGGGGGAGGGGGGGGGGAGGGGGGGAGGGAGGGGGGGAGGGAGGGGATGCATAAGTTGCAGCGTGAAACGTGGGAAATGTTACAGTACCGCGTTAAACGTATGGCATGTTGCAATCTGCTATCAAAGAACTTAGTCGCCTGTTCAGCACAGCTTTGTTGTCGGCCGCGTACCCCGAAGAGGTTCTCTTGATAGACTCCCAATATGGCCCTTATATTCCTTTAGAGGATCTTTCAATGGTCCCCAAGCCCAAGGGTACAACGCAACATGTTGCATCCTATTGCAACACCGACTCCAGGGCTCTAGACGATTAAATTCCGACACTCACGATCGGACAACCTGGGCGGTCAATTCTGGTTCAGGGTTTGGCCTTGAAAAAGAGGCGCACGAATGGGTAGAGACCATAGAGTTTTAAGGAGCCCATCCGTTTCACTGGGGCCTGCACGCCTTGATGTAAGCCGGACCCATCCAGTGCGTGTATGCTTGGTCGGTCAACTGCACGCAACAACAAGCACACTGGACTGTTGTGGATGCACTCCACATGGAGACAGGCTGGACGAAATGAATTGCAATCCCTCCCAGGCCCTACACGCTGTATGCCAGAACGCGCATGATCATCGGAATGTTAAGGCAACGTTCTGGGGGCAAGATCTCTTCTGAGCCATCCAGTCCATCACTGCACCTGGTTGTTCATCTGGGCATTGTTCATGATCAAGTCCTGGGATACAGCAGAGACGAACCCTGCAAGTCAGGAGAGACGATGCGCGTCGTGGAAGGCAACAACGCAGTGCTTGGCCTGTCTATAGCCTGTCACGCACCTTTACAGCACCTTGCAATTTTCTACGCCATACACCACATTTTTCTCAGAATGAGCCCAGGCTCCGTAGGATACCCTGGATAGGGCGGAGCTCGGGCGCCAAACTTCTGTCCGGGAATGGGCTCCTGAGTGGAGGGCAGCTGGCCGCCACTGTTTTCTGAACCCTGTATGCAAGCGGTGCCTGCGGTGTCTTGACTTCGGCTGCGGCAGTGTAGCTCATCAAGGCGCGCGTGGGATTGGGGGCGGTAACAAGCTCTCTTGCTACTGTGCCTGACTGATCGGGGATTGCTCAAAACATGAAACGAGCAGTGAGAGAACGAAGTACTGATCTAAGGAATCTAAGGAATCTTGCAAGCATTCCAGTGAGGCTTCTTGTGACCCAGGTCACCCCCACAGCATCTTCAGCTGCACTCAGAGCCACACATACTCCGCGCCCCCGCAATAGGCCTTGCACTCGCAGTTGCTGGACAAAAAAAACTTCTGGCCCCACATATGCCGAATCTGGAAGACTCAACCAAAGCCCATCCCCTTCAACACTGCAAGCGACTGCAATAAACCCCTAGTTCCTCCTGAGTCCCGGCCGGATTCCCAGCCCCCAAAATTGCTGGTTTAGGGTTTAGGGTTAGGCTACGTGGGCTAAGATCTAAATCCTCCAGACCCGCGAAGAACAAGGAGGAAAGGGGGTCACCACCACGCCCCTTAAATTTAACAGTACAAAATGATAGGATTCCTTTCCATCTGACTGGGATTCGCACGAATTTTAATAAGATTCCTATCAATACCAACATTAAAACTCTTTCAATTCGCATGTTGCTGGGCCAGACTTTCGCTCACTAAGCAAACACAGCGGCAACCGGTTGGCTTGGTAGTACCAGGTCACCAGGTCTCCCAGTCTTGCAATCTGCAAGTGCAATCGCATGAGCTTTATAGCAAGAACTAACAGCGCCAGTCAAAGTGCCGTTGCCATAACTCTGCCTTCACCGCCGGGTTGTGCTGGTCGCATCTCTGCCACTCGCCTCCTGGCATCAAAAGGTGCAACAGGGACAGTCCGAGGTGCTCAACTTCGAGGACCAACTTCCGGTCCATTTGGGACCAGCGTTGTAACGCGGTCATTTCGGACTAAACAGGGCTCCACGATCCAACGACCATTTGTGAGGCCACCTACAAGAAGCTGGCTCACCTCCTTGCGGCCCTGCACCCCAAATGACCGTTAAAGATCTCTTGAACGATGATGCGCTTGGTGCTTCTTCCGAGGATGCCGCGAGCTTCGTGGATGTGCCCGAAGAGATGAACCTGCATCTATGCCCAAGCATGATGACCGCATTGCATGGCTGGCATGCGCGGCTCATCAACAGCAGTTCGGCTCTGAGCACTGTGTGCATGTCTCCGGCATCTTGGCGGCCCATCTTGGCAAGTTCACCGAGATGCCCCACAAAATGTGCAAACTGGCAAAGTAGACACAGAAGACACCCAAAAACGACCGGGACTTGTCTGACAAGTCACGATTAAATTAAACCTAGACGAAAGCCAGCACAAGCAAATGCATGGCGAAGAACAAATTCAAAAAGCTCATCCTCGTTGAGGTCATCCGGCCTTGGCTCCAACGGCTTCCACTCTGGAGCGCAGATCCTGCAAGCATCGCTCCGCAGGGCAACGCTTTATGGTAATGACGCTTCAGGGCGAGAGATTTCGCTTTGCACAAGCACTATATGCACAGAACAAGGCGCTCTTTGCCTGGAAGAAAAACCCCATTTGCCTAGGAAGATCTAAAAAACTCCAAAACGCCAACCTTGCCCAGTTCGGATGTTTGTCCTTTTGGATCGTGGATCTCTTGAACCATCAACCCTAAACCGAAGGTACAGATGGCGCCGTGCAAGATTCAACAACCCAAAGCCCGACAGCACCGCAAGCCCGAGAAAGCCCTGCGGGGTGCCTTGCTGGAGCCCCAGTTGCCGGTCATTGTTTGATCGAAAACGTCCCACGGCCTCGGGAACGAAGGGTGAAGTCAGGGATTGGGGAGCTTCGGTGCGCTCGTCGAACCGGAAGCGTAAACTTCGCATGTCGCGTGACCACTTGACCCCTCGAAATAAACCCATGAAGTTCCGAAGCACTGCCCGCCCAGAGACCAAAGGAAGAAAACACATGGGCCATCGGGACTTGAACAAAAAAGCAGATGGGCCATGACTCCAAGCTTCCCACGCTTGGTGGCTCATCAAGATGTCTGTGCCTGCATGCCAGATGCCGGTGGGAGCCAGGGACTGACTTGTTTGATGCTTGCCTTTTAGGCGGGGATGAGCAGAGCAAGCACGATGAATGGCTTGGCCCCAATATACAGCAAATGGTCATGGGAACGATGCATTGACTTCTTGAGCCCTCGTGCATCATCCCTTTCAGAAACCACGTGTGCAAATGCAAAATGCCGGCCTGCGGGGATCTCAAAGTATCGATGCCTCATATGCCATACTGCAATGCATCCTTTCCCTTACCAGCCTTACCAAGTAACTATATATAGTAATTCGTAGTAATGCACCATATTATTATGTTAATACACAAAATATCCTGCCTATGTAGAGACCCACAAGGGTGGCAACAAAGCAGCAACGATGTGGAATGCCCACTTCCGCTCGGTCACCGGCGTAGGAACTGGGTTCGCACCACCGTGCTGCATGGCCTCAGAACACAAACTTGAAGTTGACTCCTTCTTCCAACCGTTTGCACGGCACGTTCTTCCCTCTGCTGCTTCTGCTTCTCACCCCGCGCGACTAGACCGATCTTTTTTCGTGCCTGCTGCTTCCAGGCTTCGAAGATGCGCTGCCTCGGAGACATGGACCAACACTGGATGCAAGGTCACCACGCTCCCAACTTCACAAATCTACCCGAGCGCTTCTCACAAGTCTTCCTGATGTCTGTCGCAGTGGCTTCAGGGAATGCTACGATCACTATCTTCCACTAAGCCATTGCCCTCTGGTTCTCCGCTTATGCCAAGGTGCGTCCCCGCGTTCCACTCCATATTCCTGGGATCAGTCGGCGTTAAGCGGTTTGATATCTATTCGGCCGTCAACTTAAGCGAGGCTGTTCAAGCCCGGTTCCCGTTCCCTCTACCGGCCAAATCGAAAGCCGACGGCTTGACCTTCGCGCTTTCGACTTCTGCAGTGAGGTTTGGGGCAGAACGAGGTGCCCTACGGCCCTAAGAATGGCAGCCTCCTTGCAAACACTATCCGAAGCTATAGAGCCTTCGAACTCGTCGAGTCTGTCTGTGTCATGTCCCATGTGGCATTGTACTACTAGTAGGTTTTGTGTACGCTGTTAACGGTTTTGTGCTTTCATGCCCACTGTCACGGCTTTTCCTGCGGCATGGCATGTGGTGCTTCTTCGACTTATGCGTCCAGACGATGCCCTCCACGCCATGCAGCTACCACATGCTACCACACCACAACAAACAAACAAACAGCACCTTGGCACATTCCCCTTGCCACCCGCGCCCCCCCGCCCCCATCACCCCGAGACAGGATTCCAAAGTCGGCTCCTGGCCTAGCCGCAACCCAAACCTTAAATCGATGGAGGGTGCGTCAACAATAACTTCTGCCAGCTGACCACCAGTCCCCTGGAGAGGTATAGCCGAACCACGGGCACCTGAGGTAGGCAACGGCAATCGGATCCCCGAACCCCGGTATATATTGGTCCATTTCTCACGGATGTATCCGGATGTGCTTGGCCGGACCGGAACCCAACTGAATGCCTGCTTGACAACCGGGGAGGGGGGGGGGGGGGTTGGGTGGGTTCTGGGTTTAGTCAGGCTTTGAAGAATGCGCCAACGTCATCACGCAAGCTCTCGAGGCATCGGCCAGTCTGATCCATAAATTTTCAGTCCGGCAACCTGGCGCGGGAGGCAGTCCATGAGGCGCGGATGCTCAGAACAAAGGGGTTGCTGTGCACCCGAAATTGAACTAGCCTCCCGGAAGCAGGGGTGCAAGCGGCGCACCCATCCACCCGAATGGCATCTAATAGCAGAAACTTCTCACACAAGGATCAATAACCTTGGGTCATGAACTCGGGGTACTCTTTCAATGTAGTGTTGGGAGCTGGACGAAAAGGACGTCTACAGTTGAAGCGTTGGCGCTGGGGGCTTCAATCGAGGGGCCCTGGCCCTAAATGCTCTAATGACCCTAAGTCCATACCCCTTTTGGCCCTTGTAAGCCCTTGCTTCAACCCAGCCGTTTCTTCTCATGGTCTAAGCCCTCAACCGCCAGATATGAGGCCCCGTGGGCCCCTACATGCTGACCCCTGGGATGCAACTCGTCTTAGTCTTGGCCGACATCGCTCTCCCTTTTTTTGGAAGGAGTTTTCACCGGACGCAATTCGCGTGTCACCGCATGACACCTGTCAATGACCCACAAGAAGAAACGTACACATGAGTTTCTTGGCACGCCACGAGGCAAGGTTCGGCTCTTTATACATGACTCACTCACTGTCAAGAATAACTACTGCCTCAAACTGAAGAGTCCAGAGACCCTGTTGAAATTGTGTTTCTGCCCGCAGGTTGAGCAAATCCATTCTCAAAGGTTGTTGCCAGTCATATCCCACAGCTTCGTGTTGCTCTCGTGGCACTTCATTTTTTATTGGAACATATTGCAAGGAATGCCTGCCTTTAGCTCAGATTCATAGCGCGTTTCGATGCGGCAAGAGCATGTAATATTTGGCTACATTGATCGTCAGCGGAAGGGACTCATTGGCCCCCACCGCCTTAACTCACGCTTGGGCATTGCAGCAGCATAATATGGTGCCTTTGCCAGGATGCCAATCAAGGTAACTAAGACCGTACTCACCCAACCGTCTCTCAAAACAGGGGTCCTCGTAAAAAAACCAACATGATACAATTAGAAACCCTTGTTATAGGAACCCCGGCAAAAGGGTACCCCCCGTTTCGGAAACCTCTCTCCCTCCCTTGGTGTACAAAGGTTCCTCGGCCTCCACAACCTCATGGTGCAGGAGTCGGGCATTAGGCACTTTGGACTGCCTTGGCGAACTTGATGCGGAGCTCTGACAAGTTTGGGTCTCAAGTTTGCTGTGGAAGCAGGTGTGAGGAGGGAGGGCGCAGTAGCACGTGCTGCTGTGAGCTGTCGCAGTCAACTTCGGCCCGAAAGCAATAGGCAAACTAAACCCTTCAACCCTACACCGCGACCTTTCAGAGCAACGGCAGCAACTGCAACGCCTGAGGCTCAAGCAGGTAGTGCGGGTCGAGCGAGGCCTGGTCGTGAGCACACACGATTGAGTTATTGAGTCCTTCAGGGAGCGGGGTTCATGTGGGGTAGTGTGATGTTGGTGATATTTAGCCCAAAACAACTCGCTTTCACAGCTATGTCAGCAAAAAATTGAGCTGCCTCGGGCGCCATCTGCCAGCCTGCAACACGGCCCACCACCGACATCCAGTCATGGTTGCCTGCACCCGCAAGCGCTGCAACAGAACCGGAAAGATGCTGACAACACTTGCGTCATCATTGGTCTGCGCCCACCTGAGACAAAGTACACGCCGTACTTGTACTTGTGCTTGATCTCACCTTACTGCTGCGCAGCACAGAACTAACATGAGACCCGCGTCATGTCATCAACATGCCCATGGTGCCATAGTGTCCGTGATCGGTGGCATGCAGGTGTCAGGTCGTGCATTTCCCGACGCATGTCAATGCACGAAGCTTCTCTCACGAACATGAATTCAATTCCCGTGCCTATCCATTCGTTGAAGTCTCCAATCTCCCAATCTTCTCCATGATCGGAGATATCTGGCGCGTAGAAGCTCAGCCAGGCTTAAAGTTGAGGCTTCTTGGCTACAGGGTACCTTCCCTCACCCACCCCAAATCGTATCAATCCTGCAGGGGCCAATCTTCAAGAGCCTGTGGCGAGATACCGGCGTGCCTCGCCCTAGTTACCGCAGCAACCTCCCCACATTGGGGTCTCTGAAGTATTCCGAAGTCGATACTTCACAGCTGCAGGTCAGGACCCTACTGCTTCAATCCACTCCCTCTGCTCTGGGAACTTTCGAGGTGGTCTTAGTGACCATAAGGCAGGACTCCTCTCAGGTGTAAGGATGCATGTTGAGAACACTTTGTGCGACTGCACTTCTGGTGGTCGCCACTGGCATCTCAGGTAACCCTCACGCCTTTGCACTTTCAGCCTTTGAGCGGCTGGTGGCACCCCAATTCTAGGCTGCTGTGAAACGGTCAGCGGCAGCCACAATTGAAACTTCAAAGCCCTCCCAGAAGTAACTCGTAGCAGAAATCAGTACAAGTAGCATCGGCAACGCTGCCGAACTTGTCTGCACAGTGCTGCATCACCATGTTCCCACAGGCGCACGCACTCGGGAAGCACTCTCCGTGTCTGTCGGGGCTGAGTGCTCCATAGTGCTCCGGCTGCTTGGAGCCATGGCCAGTGCCAGACACTCAGTCCGATCCCTATCGGTGGGCAAAGCTGGCCTTGTGCTGCGGCTACACTTACTATTTGCTGCACGTCAGCATGAGGTGCAGAGGTCGACTGTGTGCTGCGATGGAACGATTACCTGTATGCTTCAACCGGTCTGCCGCACCTCACGACACGAGCAGATTACTACTACCTTGATTACAGAGACCCTATACCGAGTCTTGAAAAAGCATGTGGGGCAGCACTGCCTAGCCTGCTAGCCAGGAGTCTCTGGATTACAAGCCTCTGAAGTTTCAAACTCCTAACCTACATAGTCAATGCGCAGCTGCTTCAGGCGGACTGCGGCCGCACCAGAAAGCTCGCCTGCACGCCGGCACGACAAGGCTTCGGGCTCCAGATCTCATGTCAAGCTTGCAAACAGCACTGATCTCACGAAGAACTGCAGACAGGAGTGGCCTGGGGCGAGATGGGGCAGAGAAGCGCTTCAGACCTGTGCACCACGCTGCTTGGCTGCAGAAACCGAACATCCGAGGCTTGCGTAGAGATCAGGTTGCTTGAACTTGAAACCGATTCCACGCCATTTCCCAAGCACTTGCTGATTATCGGACTCCTTTGCCCAACATCACTGAAAACACCCTTCGGCCCTTCGGCCCTTCGCTGGGACTCTGGCTGCCACCACCTCAGGCTCCACCTTGCTTGCAAATTTGTTCACGCGCGTTTGCGGCTTTATGCGGAATTTCAGCATTCTGTCTTCGTTGCAGTCCCAGCGGCCGGCACATCCAGCCAAGTCTGCGCGAAATCGGTGCATCTCGTGAGCCCTGGTTCGACTCTTGCGGTCAAATATGACTCGCGCAGAGCCTTCTGGTTTTACTTGCGAAATGAAAGAAGTCTGCTACTCAAAGCTTTGTCCACTCATGTCAACTCCTGTCGGGCCCTTGCATTCACCTCCCGCAAAACTGCAAAATGCCGGAAGCAATGGATGATCCATCACCTCTGCTCCCCCGCACGCGGAATCGAGACTACATTTAAATTTAATCAAGAGGAAACCTCGCACCCAAAAGCTTCTCACGACCCATCTCGGTCTATTGCCAGAGCTCAACCAGAAACTTGCCTGGATGACTTCAACCCTGCGAAGGTCCGGGTCCAACGGTCAACAGGAGGGGCGCCTCCATTGATCCGCACGCAATGCAAGATCTCCTCGAAGCGATCACCCTTCGAGATGGAGGCCACCTTTAACAAGGGGGCTTCCTTCCCTGCGTCCCCCGGACCTTGAACTTCATTAAGTGCTTTTCTTTGCACAGTTCTGCAAAACCCCTCAGCAGGAAAAGTTGCTCAAAAGGGTGCCACTGGCCTCGAAGTAGTACAGCCTGCACCAACAGCACTTGTAGTCTCTGCTGATGAGATGCAAGTCGTTGTGAATGCAGCTTGTGAGGAACATCTGTGTTGCAAAGCGAGCCTGACTCGGCCGGCTGTACTATCCAGAAACAAGAAGCCGTACTGTGCCTGGCACGCAGTTAGCATCTTTTGCGAAGGGTGTTGCCTCTTTCTTCTGCAAGTACGGTGCACCTCCTTCAACCCCCGCCCCCCGCCCCCACCCTACAGAATTGCCCGGATTATTCGGAGCTCGCCGAAAACTGCATTGCCCAGTTTTGTTCAGACAACCCACCCCATGTGGAGCAGGACACACTAACCTCTGTCACGATCTTGTATGATCTTGTCAGCACGAGATGCAGTCCATCTGCTCCCTCACAGCTGGCAGCTGGCCCTGTAGTAGTATGTTGGCACTTGTCAGCTTGCCCAAAGAAGCCCCGCATGGGGCATGGTGCTGCCTCACAACATGCTCAAAGTTTGAAAGCCCCTGTCGCAGACCTCGCACTGGCTGTCGCTCATGCCATGTGCTCCGATCATGAACCCGACAGGCTCCGTGGTGCTGGCTTGGACCTTATGGCCACAGAAAACAGCTGGCATCTCTACATTCGCCTGCCGCAACCTGATGGATGATCCCAGTGCTCGCTTTGAGCTCAAGTATGCTCAAATACACGCACTGGGCAGGGCCATTGCATCTCTAGCAGCTTGCCCATTGTGTAGGACCACGTCTTCGAGGTGCGTGAGCAAAGGTCTTGGACGCAACCTCATCTGGTAGCTGAGCCCACGGCGTAGTTGCAGTGCTCATGGCCATCCATGTACCTAAACAAAAGCATCTGGGCCTCTAGTATGTTGAGTTAAACGAAAGATTGTAAAAGCCGAGCAGAGACCCCCCTCCCTGATCTGCAACAAGTAACTACAGCGCATCAGTCGAGGAGTGGTCCTCAAAACATTTCCAGTCAAGTTTCCTGTTGCCTGCATGCTGGGATTTGTTTTAAAGGCTTCCTTGCTGAGGCCTCTGGCCGAGTGGCGCTTTGAATTGTGACTCTGGGGTTTTTCTGAAGAGTCTGGCCCATGGTTCAGAAGCTCTTGGCACAATCCTGGATGGTCCACACAATACCACTGCATTATTTATCAGCACTGCTACATTTGGAGGCATGCGTAGCTCTGGCTCACTATGTAGCTGCGGTGATGGACTATAGCAGTCATTGTCGAGTGCTGTCGCGATCGCTCCGCTGCCGCCGCCGCCGCTGCCGCCGCCGCCGCTGCTGTCGGTTGCTGTCGGCGGCTGTCGCTACTATTTCGTCGCGTCGCATACTGCTGCCACGTGCGCTCTCCGGTGCTGCATTCCACATGTCTTGTCCTCTGCCTGCCTGCCGATGCCTCTGGAAACCCAAGCCGCTTCTACTCAATCCCTGAGCGGAGTGAGCCGCGCGTGCGGCTCGCACACGACTGCCGGCCACACAGAAACCGGGCTGGAGCTGGCAGACAGCCGAGGCAAGAAGTCCCAGCAGGACAAACATGGAGAGCGTGGAGCAGAAGCTGAGGAGAGAACTTCAGGCGGTCGCCCAGTGCAGCACAGCCTGGCAGAGCCAGAAGTTCCTGCGTCGCGGGCTTCTCCACGGTACATGTGCAGGCTCCGCTCTTCTTCCCTGCGTGTACTACAGCCGCGACCATCTTCAGCGGGGGCGGGGGCGGAGGCTTGAGAACTGCCAACTCCAAAAAGCATACAGTTGGAAAGAAACAGGGAAGATTGTGCAGGAATCTGTTGCGTGAACTGAATTTGGGGGGACTTTGTCAGGCTCCTGTGTAGTCCCTCCACCACTGCTGGGGGCTTCGTGTTGCCGATTTCTAGCCGCGGAAATCCGTACTTCAAGCTAACAGCATTGGGATAGAATTGAGCCTCGCCATCAAAAAAAAGGGCAAGTCTCCTGGTGAACTTGTGGCGCAGAATTGCCCGGGGAACAGCCCATGCCATTTCCATTCCAGTGTCCAAGGAGAAACCTTCGCAAGTGCTTGCAGTAGCACTCAGCTTCCTGCACATAGACCCTTTAACATTTGCACAAGCGACAGCCGTGTCTTACAGGACATCTTCAGGTGCAACTGCAACACGGTTGACACATGCTAACCCCTCATTGCTTAGCACCCAGGACTCAACAACAAAGCGGATGGCACTGATCCAGCTCAACTCTCAACATTCTCAACACTCCCCAACTCGTACGTTCCAGCAAAAGCCCAATATGATTCTGACTGATCCAATCCATTCATTTTGAGTGCAGTCAGCAGCACACCACTGCTGGCTTCGTCTCGGCGAAGTAGTCGCACGCCTCGTCGAGAAAGATTGAGTTAAGTCCCCTCGCCCCTCGCCATCAGGCGTCAAATCCCACGACACATCCTGCAAAACAGAAACCATCCGGCAGATCAGATCATCAACGGTCGGCGCAAACAAGAAAAGCTTTACGGAGGCATCTAGGCCACCAGCTCATTGTATACAAAGGAGGGCTGAGCTCCTAACACAGGTTTAGAGCTTTGGCAGCAGCACTCATCAGCTTCAGTAAATATCTTACAAATATTCACAGGCTGCGTTGACAAGCCTTCCTGCACTGGAAATGACCCGTCACAAGCACTGTACCTCCTTGACTCCTTGACCGCTCCGTGCGAAGATTCATAATGCATCAGGAAACCCGAAACTGGCACGGCGAGATGTGAGTTTAGCAGAATGCTTGTGCAACAGTAAGCCTCTGCGAAGTAGGGCAGCTGGTCCGAGTACAGAGCTGCACCGGAGTAGGCCAGGAAGCCGATATTGCCAAGCTTGTGGTAGACCTGATTGTGTTTGCTTCACCATTCCCACATTTAAAATCCTACTACCCTTCGCGCTCTGCGATCATTGGGCAGGGGAAGCTCAACGTTTTCTTCCTGCTGTCTTCTTGCGCACGTGAACTCCCGCGAGCTTCAGAAACTATGGGGCCGAAGTGCCAAGAAGTTGGTGCCCATGTTCTGA